TTTCCATCGTCAGGAACGCCTGAAAAATTCAAAATACTGCTTTGAAAACACTGATTTTAGTACAAAAATCAGTGTTTTCGCCTAATATTCGTTTCATGACGTGTGCCAGTTCAGAAAACACTTGTGCCAGATAGAACTCGATGAGATCTATCGATTGGTAGTAAATTGACCCATATTCAACACTATGGTAGGCATAGGCGGCGGAGCCACGAGGCCTGGGTAGGCACGAGCCTACCCTAGATTGGAGGAGGGTAGGCTTGGGTAGGCTCAGGTAAAGGCCTGGGTAGGCTCAGATAAAGGCTTGGGTAGGCTCGAACCAGTACAGATAAAGGCTTGACTAGGCTCGATTTAATGTAAAAATTTTCCAATATTAGTTAATTTTCATGTTCTTCTGACAGATGACGCGTTATTACAAGGTCAGTCCACATTTTATGTATTACAAACTCGTGCTCAGTGGCATACTGATTGATTTCGTTGACATCTATATCTGCGTCGAACTCTTTATTTTCAATATAAGATAATTTAACTTTTGTTCTAAAATTCTATTCAAAATAACTTTTGAATTTCTAGTAATTAAAGAACAGTACTCTTCCATAGGCGGCGAAGCCACTAGGCCTGGGTGGGCTCAAGTCTACCCTAGGCTGGCGGAGGGTAAGCTTGAGTAGGCTCAAACTTGGGGCAAACTTTAGTATACTCCCCACTAAACCTGAAATCCATGTCCTGCTCTCCACATCCTTATCGTTCTTTGACCTCATGGCAAAACCTCATCCTACACTCTCACCCTTTGGATTTTTGCCATGAGGCCGAAGAAAGGAAAGAATGTGGAGAGCAGGACATGGATTTCAAGTTTAGTGGAGGACTATACTAAAGTTTGCCTCAAACTTGGACAGATTAAGGTTTTGGTAGGCTCTATTAAATGTAAAGTTTTTCTATTATTGTTTAGTTTTCAAGTTTTTCTGGCAGATAACACATTGTTACAGAGTCAGTGTCAGTCATAGGCGGCGGAGCCATTAGGCCCGAGTAGGCGAAAGCTCATCAATATTTAAGTTCCATAGGCTAAGAGATGCTCAAACATTTGCTTTTCACTCTATCAGATTAACAAACTTGTCTACTGCTTGAAAATTTTTGCTGTCGTCACCAGTAACTGATAATATTTTTAGGAAAAAAACCTAAATTTCGTATGACTAAGTGTTCAGCGTACATTGGCAATGAGTTCATTTTATGCTTTTTTCTTACAAATGAAGAAAGACCTTACATGATACTTACAATCATATCTGCTGGACGATGTCCAAAATTCTCTCCTCTCTCTGCAGTTAATCTCAGATGCCAATCAAATATTTTCAACACGCTGAACAATCTCACAATGAGATTCCTTTTCTGTGAGCACTGCTACGTTGTCATAATCCTAGTTTCCAGTAATACAAATCAAAAACTCTTTTCAAGCTGCAGCTCATCAGATACGTTCAAAATCTAATCGACTTCGAGCTTGGATCTGAAATTTGTTTGTTGACCAGAGTCAGATCTGGACCCAGGTACAGGTCCTCGAATTCAGACCTGACGGACTCTAGCTGCACGTAAGAGCCACTTATAACTTGGTTATTACGAGATTACCGTTAAAATTCTTTGGAAAATGTGTAGGATATGCTGATCACCGAAAAATTAATCGAAAAAAATGTAGTATCTTTCAAATAATTATCAGATTGGGAGTTAAAAAATTGCATTGAGAGTACGAGGATTACCAACCTGGTTTCGGATCCAAAAATTTTGCATCCGATAGATCATATTTGAAGGTCACTATTCAATCAAAAACAAAAGTTTAAGTGACTCTTTGAATACAAGTTTTTGCCACAATTTGCAAACTCATCACTGATCTGCACTAATGTTATGCATTAAAAAGTTTGAGTTCGAAATAAACAGTACTAATTGTGTTTTATTTGAATGGCATAGCATAAAAATGACCCTCTCTATTTTTAACCTGTCGGTAAGGCTCCTATAAAAAATATTGAGCCTACCCTAGATTCAAAACGTTCCGCCGCCCCTGGTTAAAATTCATAATATTATGTCATCTAAAATTTGAAGAAAAGCTCTGAAAACAAAAACGAGAATAATAGTTTTTAAATTATAAATAAAATCATTTCGAATACTTACGCACTAAAATTTTCATCTCGTGTTCCATTAACTGATGATAAAATATCATTCTATCGTGTTAATATAGCATCTTCAGTTAAATTTTGTACAAGATATCGAAGTATTATATTTATATTGATTAATTATCGATTTGTAGATTGACAATTGACATTCTAAAAAACATTTTGAACTACAGGAAAATTTTATAAATAAAAACAACGAACATTTCTATTTACTAATGCTCGAAAAGCAATAACAAATGGATCAACTGATCGTAATGCAACTGATGAGACAACATCAAATAGTGTTAATTGTGTGGAATAAATATCCAACAGTGATTGATCCTATTTGAACAAAAAAATAACCTGAGATAAACCAATAGTAACATGTGATTGTAAATGAACAAGAAGTACATCGACAATTTATCGTGAAAGACGTTTCCATTTATCATCTTCAATTTGAACACTATTAACAATAACTGTTAACAGTCGTAAAGCCTATAACAATATAAATTCTATTATTATTTTTTCAGTACATACACATGATATGAAAAGATACTTTTATTTATAATAATTAAGACGCCTAGTTTTCCTTCAAACTCAAATACATAACAACAAGATGATTATTTTCAGATCATCAATTCGTTGAAATGTGGGTTCAATCGAGGAGAAAAATTACATCTACACACCCACACTCACACCCTCTCGAGTTTCTAAGATATTTGAGACTTTATAGAAGGACACTTTTTGTTCACTCTCATTTAATAAAACTTTTTAGGAATTTTAATTATTTGCATAACTCGAACAAGAAAAAAAATCATATAAAACTAGTTTTAATGCTGCCAAAGCAAAAATAAAGAATTTTAACGATAATTTATTTTTCTCGAAAACGTTTTTTTTTGCTTCCTACCATGTGTTTCAGGTTCATGTCCACTTGCTAATAATGAATCATAATGTTTAATTAAATCTTGTATTTTAATAACTCGTTTTGAATGAAGTGTATCATTTGATAACATAACAAGAAATTCAGCAATACAATAAATAAAATGCTATTTAAAAATAAACGAAACGATTAGAAATGCAACGAATTTCATCAGCTTCTAATTAATCATAATTAACACGAATTAAAAGTAATTAAACAAGTAAGTCGAGTACAGCAGCTTGAAATTACTTTCATTTGTATATTAATATATTTTTTAAGACTAATTTTTTAGTTCAATAAAAACTAAAATAGAAAACAAAAAAGCAGAATAAATCAGATTCGTTTTTTTTTGTTTATTTTACTGTCGTATTGTACTATTTTCTATGAATTGCTCACTATTTATACTTGATGCATAACGTGAACCAAATAAAATAAATTATCGATTGTCAAATACTTATTGTATGAATATAAGTTAAAGAATTATTTAATGATACTTGTGAAGAAACATTTGAAGATTTAATAAAAACTAAATTAAAAGAATATTTTTAAATGAATGTTGTGTTAACAGAAAAAATGATTTTCAAATTTCGAATTGATAGCGTTTCTTGCAGATCGCTCACGTAAACTAGATGATTTAATATTCGAATTTCAAGATAGAACCGAATCAAAAGATCTGACACTTTCACAACAAAACTAATCTCGTTAAGATCATCGATATTGGTAAAATCAGTTTTTCTGTTACTATGACATTCTTATATTGAAATTTTCCTTCTCTAGGAAAGACCCTTTCAGAAACCTTCATTATAAGATTTCCATCTAAATTTTTATCCATAGACAAGTTTCAGACACAATACAACATCCTAAAGGTTTTAGCTTAACCAATGAATAAAAAAGATTAATAATTGAAATTTCCTTTACAATAAATATTTACTATTTAAAAGAAGTTACCTCTTGTGTACATTGAATGTTGATTTAAAATAATTAAGTGTTTCTCTTCCAAATTTTTTTGATAAATCTTGTGTAGAAATAAGACTTAAAACTGATTTCATAGACAATAATGATTATTTCTGATGAATTTAATAAACTTTTATGTATTTGATAAGATGAACGTATTAATTCGAATAATTTCCAAAAGTACCTAATTGTGTATGATTAACTTTTTTAACTTTGTCTGTGTTTGATGTTGTTGATGAATCTTTATTATTCTCTTTAAAAAGAAAAACAAATGAATTCGTTCAGACGAAACATGATCGCATATATTCTACAAATCTAACACTTTGGAACTCCTTTCTTCTGTGAAAACTGAAATATCAACTATATTCTGTTCAAAAGAATGATGATAAAATAGTTCAATTTTTCGAATTACTTGAATCATTTATGCTACTTTCAAAACATTTTTTCATTTGTTGAGATTTGATAAATCTTCAAATAAAAAGAAAGAATTTAAAAAAAACATAATAAATATCTTTTTTTTTTCTCTTTACTTGAAAAGATTAAATTATTAAGATCATGTAATATAAAGGGATGTTTAAAAAAATTTATAAATAAACGAAGTTCATCATATTGATTATGAAAAAATTGGTCGAATTGTTGTTGGTCTTAAAACATTTGAAAGAACATAAATATCTTCCAAACATCCAACCTATATAAAAGACAAAAATAACAAACAATTTGTATTCGAGTTGATGCTTGAACGTGTAATGAATGATGAATTTTATATATCCATTGACATGGTAAAAATGAATTGTGATCAACAAAACCTTAAAATTAAAAAGTAGCTAATAACTAACTTAATGCAATAAAATCGACTTATTCATCCAAATTCGACAAAAACCACGTAGTTATTATCTCTACAAATACATACTTAGCAAAAATCGAAGCAGTTACTTGACGAACACGTATATCAGGATATATTGTTTTAATTGTTTTTGTTGTTGTTCAAGATAAGTTAATGTTCGAAAATCAATATCATCTATAAATTGAGCTAGACTAACCTATTTTATATACATACAAAAAAAAATTATTATAATCATAAATTTCTTTTATCTACTTTAGCAAGAGTACAGGAACTTGTAGTATGTTGAATAGAATCTTCTAATAATTGAATTCCTATGATTGTAAATGCATGACTATTAATTAATAAAAAAGGTAATAATATTCGTAAACCATTTAGTGAAACATGTATAACACGTGTATTATTATCATTAAGACATATAACCTTGAACTGTCTTGTGAATCAGTTGATACAAGTCAGAGACCGTCACAGGGCACTTTTTTCCGCCCTGCCCTGCCCTGTGCCCTGCTCCGCCCTGTCCTGCCCTGCTCTGAAGATGACTCATTAGGGAAAATGTTTGCCCTGCCCTGCCCTGCCCTGCCCTGAGGGCAGGGCAGGGCCACCTGCAGGGCTTATAACTGCGTTTAC